ATATATATATATATATATATTAGCATACAAAATTAATTTAAAAAAAATAAACATGACATATATATAATATTTACACATTTATTACACATGTTTATTATACAATAATCCCGCATAAAATCGATCAAAGTAAAATGTTAAGAAATCAAAGCACAGCGACAGAATTCCAATTTTTGATAGCTATTTTATTTTTTTACTTTCTCATAGGCATTATTATAATATTATAGATACAATTGTTTCTTTCACAAATGATTAATGGAAAAGATTGAAGAAGCATTTTAATATAGGACTATATGGCATGCCTACTTTAGATTCACACAATACATACATCGCATTTATGTACATTTCACAATAAACCAATCAGTTAGAACAAATGCAATATTAACATTCTATTAATTCCACCAATTACCTGGTGTGTCACTAGACTTATGCAAAGGTTTTCTATTACCGAAACTAAAATAAGGTTTATGTTCCAAATGTTGAACTTTTTCTGGATTGTATCTATCAGGGCCTACCAAAGCAAATAGAAATTAATATATTTTTTCTCCTAATTATTACACACATTTTTATTTCTATTAGATTTTATTAGGCGGTTATTATCTATTAATTTTTTATTAACTCACACCATTACCTGGTGTATCGCGGGATTTATGAAGAGGTTTTCTATTACTGAAACTGAAATATGGTTTATGTTCCAGATTTAAAGCTTTCTCTGGACTGTAATCGGCTGGGCCTACCAAAAGTAATCAGAAAATCATATTGTTTATTATTGATTATTATTATATTTTTATGTTGCTTAAGAAAATCATCGTTAAAGAGATGCAATGTTAATCCACGCCGGGTTAATCCACACCGTTACCTGGTGTATCTCTAGATTTATCCAAAGATTTCCTATCACCAAAACTGTAATAAGGTTTATGTTCCAGATTTAGCGCTTTCTCTGGTTTGTAATCAGCGGGGCCTATAGGCGAGGCAATCAGAAATTAATATTGTCTATCATTATTCATTAAATTCTTTCTTCGCATGTTAATAGTCGAAGAAATGTGTGCCTCGGAAAAAGTTTATTAACGTGATAATGACGTAAGATATCCTATATTCACCTGGATTCTCGTTTAATTTTTCCGGCATCCCTTTTCCGGCCAAACTGTACTGCGGGCCCTTGTCTAAATTCACCTTCTCGGGGCTATATGTGCCAGGTGCTGCAACAAAAATAAATACCAACGATGGAAGAATATCACAATCGTATTTCAAGAAAATGTCTCAAACGTACCAGGAACATCGTTAGTTTTCAGAACGGATCCTTTGCCAGTTAAACTATATTGCGGCCCTTTGTCCAAATTTATCTTCTCTGGACTATAGGTTCCAGGTGCTAGGAAATAAAAGTAAACGCACGCGATAAGAATTCATTTTTTTCTGCAAGAACAGAATCTTAATTACCTGGCGTATCACTGGGTTTAATCGGAGCATGTCTAATCCCGAAACTATATTGCGGCACATTATCCAATCTTACTTTTTCTGGAGAATACGCCCCAGGCGCTGAAAATCATATTATTATATTATTACATCTGCAAACAATTTATTTTAGCAGCTCTTGCAACTTTTATACCTGGTGTATCCGCAGGTTTTTTAGCAGACCCTTTGCCAGTCAAACTATACTGTGGCCCTTTGTCCAAATTCACTTTTTCTGGGCTGTAAGTACCTGGTGCTGCGAGGTAAAAATAAATATGTGCGATAATTGTAACAGTTGTGTACAATATTGTTAATTGTAATATTCCCATACAGTACACATTATCCGAGGGACATCCAGAGGATTGTATATCCTCTGGACGTCCCTAGGATAAAGTGTGCTGTATGCGATAATTACATAAATACATATATTATATATTTTATATTACCTGGTGTGTTATTAGATTTATCCGGAACATGCTTAATGCCGAAGCTATATTGCGGCATATTATCTAATCTTACTTTTTCCGGAGAATACGCTCCTGGCGCTGAAAATCATATTATTATACTATTACATCTGCAAATAATAACTTATTTTAGCAGCTTTTGCAACTTTTACATACCTGGCGTATCCGCAGGTTTTTCAGTGTGCCCTTTACCAGTCAAACTGTATTGCGGCCCTTTGTTTAAATTCACTTTTTCTGGGCTATAAGTACCTGGTGCTGCGAGATAAAAATAAATATGTGCGATAATTGTAACAGTTAATATGTATTTTAACAGTAATAGTGCATTTATATTGTTGTAATATAATTATACATATATTAGACATTTCATAAATTACCTGGTGTATCACTAGATTTATCCAGAGCATGCTTAATGCCGAAGCTATATTGCGGCGTATTATCTAATCTTACTTTTTCTGGTGAATACGCTCCAGGTGCTAAAAATTATATTATTGTATTATTACATCTGCCGAAAAAAACTTATTTTAACAGCTTTTACATACCTGGCGTATCCGTAGGTTTTTCAGCGGGACCTTTGCCAGTCAAACTGTATTGTGGCCCTTTGTCCAAATTCACTTTTTCTGGGCTATAAGTACCTGGTGCTGCGAGATAAAAATAAATATGTGCGTAATTGTGACAGTTGTATACAACATTGTTAATTGTAATATAATTAGATAAATACCTACATATATTATACATTTTATATTACCTGGTGTGTAACTAGATTTATCCGGAGCATGCCTAATGCCGAAGCTATATTGCGGCGTGTTATCTAATCTTACTTTTTCCGGAGAGTACGCTCCGGGTGCTAGAAACCGTTTTATATTATTATCATCTACACCTTACATTGACAATTTTTATAATTTATATATATATATATATAT